CCAAACTAAAAAGTGTTTGTCCCTATCAGAAAATGCAAGAAAACAATAAACTTTAATGAGGGAGACATTTTTGGATAAGAAACACTCATCAATCTTTAAGTTAATATTTTGTGTATGTTCTTCGCCAAAACGAGAGGTGAATATATACAAGGCAATGGATCTCTCTAGACCTTGTACAGGTGTCAACAATAAAAGATGCCAAATAGGTAGTACTATACTAAGGACAGCGGCTAGTGAAGGGGGAAGCTGCACAAGAGTCCAAAACTCCATTGATGAGAGATGCTGTGGGCCTGTATGAGACTGCATGGGAGTCCTTGTGTGTATGAGGTGCATATGAGCCTGATATTTTATCACACCCCCTCAATTCGACGAGGAAAAAGGGCAAACATGAAGCTTGGATCGAAAACGAGTGAAGAATTATCCTGATATAGGCTTAGTCAGGATATCTGCTACCTGATCTGATCCTGGAATGTGTGAGATCACACCTTCTCCTTTCTTGACCTTGTCCCTGATGAAATGAATGTCAATTTCCACATGCTTGGTCCTAGAATGAAGAACCGGATTTAAGGATAGATGCACTGCTCCTAAGTTGTCAGTCCACAGAGTGGGAGTTTTAGATGGCGTCATATGTAACTCTCTCAGAATAGACCAAATCCAGCTAAGTTCACACAACGCATGAGCAATGCTTCTGTACTCTGCCTTGTACTTGAACGAGAAACAGTGAGCTGCTTCTTAGAAAACCAGGATATAAGATTATTTCCCATGTAAACACAGAAACCTGAAATGGGCTTTCTATCATCTAAATCTGCTCCCCAATCTGAATCAGAAAAGAGTGTGAGATCATTGTTGGTTGATGGAGTGAAACTAAGACCATAAGAGGAGGTTCCTGAAAGATATCTAAGAATCCTTTTCACCAATGAGTCTCTCTAGGATCATGTATGAATTAACTTACCTTGTGCACACCATAGGCAATGTCAGTCCTGTGATCACTATGTATTGCAATGCACCAACTATAGTCCTGTTCAATGTGGGATTGTGAAAGATATCTCCATCATTCTTGGTGAGGATTGGAGAGGTAACCATAGGTGTGCTGAGACCCTTTGCACCTTGCATATTTAATCTAGATAACACCTTCTGAATACAAGCCTCTTGCTTCAAATGAATTCCAGTGGCTGCTTTGTTAATTTCAATCCCAAGGAATAGGTGTGGTTCTCCCATATCTGATAAACTTGATTCAACTTAGCTATGAACTTATTGATTTCTGCCTCATTGTCTCCTGCAACAATCACATCATCAACATATACTACCAGGATCATGAAGGAGGTGAATGTTTTTCTGAAAAACAGTGAAGTGTCAGCTGCTGAGATCATAAAACCAAAAGAGCACAATGTATCCTTAAGGGTGGTAAACCAGGCTCTTGAAGCCTACTTCAAGCCATAAATGGCCTTGTTCAATTTACAAACTAATTCACCAGGAACCCCTTTTTTCAAAACAAGGTGGCTGCTCCATAAACACTTCATCTTCAAGCTGAACTGGACTGAAAGTCTCATCATAGTCTTGACCATAAGTTTGAGTGAAGCCTCGTGCAACTAACCTTGTTTTGTGCCTTGAAATGGTGCCATCATCATTGGTTTTAACTTGTAGACCCATTCACATGTCATTATTCTTTTGTCAGGAGGTCTAGGAACCAGATCCCAAGTTCCATTTTTAACAAGGGCACTGTATTCTTCCTCTATAGCTTTCTTCCATCTGCAGTTTTCAAGAGCCTCATGGTGATTTGATGGCTCAGAGTGTTGCTCAATGTGGCTCTCATACACCTTTGGCTTGTATACACCAGCCTTAACCCTTGTAAGCATATGATGAGTACCTGTTTCCTGAATAAGAGGAGGCTCTAGTGCAGAAATAACATTTTCACAAGGCAAATCAACAAAGAATTCACTAGGAGAATGTATGGATATGGCTTGATCTGAAGAAGAATGTGGTGACTGAGTGTGTGGATTGAGTTGTCTACGAGATTGGTTATGAGGAGAAGCGGGATGATTATCTGTTGGTGAGGTATCATTTTGGTTTTGGACTGCTCTTTGGGAGAAGAAATGAGAGGTGGTCCAGGTATGGCAGTAAGATTGTTTGTTTTCTGAGATCTAGGTGTTATGGTCTTTGTGAAGGGGAAAGAGGTTTCATCAAAGGCTACATTTCTGGTGATTATGATTTTTCGTGTTGGAAGGAGAATCTTGTATCCCTTATGCTTCAAGCCATATCCAATGAAAGTATTGGGTTCTGACCTGAATTTAAATTTGTGTTTGGTGTAGGGCCTGAGATGAGGATAGCAAAGACACCCAAAAATTTTTAGATTAAAGTAGTTTGGTTTCACGTTAAAACAAAATTGGAGAGGAGTCTTGAAATTGTTTTGAAGGGGTTCTGTTTAGGACATACACAGCTGCTGAAAAGGCATCATCCCAGAAGGTTTGTGGCATATGACTGTGGGCAAGAAGAGATAATCCTACCTCTACAATGTGTCTATGCTTCCTCTCCGCTATTCCATTTTGCTGAGGAGTGTATGGACAAGAATACCTATGATTTATCCCATTCTTCTCAAGAACATGAGACAGAGATTTGATCTCACCTCCTCCATCTGTTTGGATCATTTTTATTTTTTATTTAGTTGATTTTCAACCAGATTTTTAAAATGGATGAAGGCATTCAAGGTATCACTCTTGTTTTTCAGAAAGTAAATCCCAAGTGTATTTGGTTGCATGGTTAATGAAACTGACATAATATCTGAAATCATTGTTTGACAGAATAGGTGAGGGGCCCCAAAGATCACTATGGATTAATGTGAGAGGATCTGAATATTGAGAGAAGGCAAACTCTTACTTTTGGATTTAAGACAAGCATAACATAATCCTTTCTTTTCATTAAGAGAATAAGGAACATTACAAAGATTTAATGCTTCTCTAACAACATCCATAGCTGCATGACCTGACCTTGAATGTCAAATATCTAAACTATCCTTCTTAAGGCTAACAGAATTGGCACAAAGAAAATTTTTTATTAGAGAGAGAAGCTTGAGCAGTGGCTGAAAGAACTTGAGTTGGGACATCTTTATCAACTTCAGCTTTGGCTGTCTTAGGGAAATGGAAGTAGTAAAGGACATCTCCAAGTTTCCCTTTGAGAAGAATCACTCTAGGTCCTTCACAAGACAAAACATAAGGTAAAATTCAAAGAATACATTATTGTCTTGGGCAAAGTGAGAGACACTTAGGAGGTTTTTAGTTATATGAGGAACATGTAGGAGATTTTTAAGGACAAAACTTCTCGTTGTGCAGGATAAAGGTGAAGAAGAAGAGTGAATGATTGATTTGCCTATGTAAGAAATATTCAAACCTACACCATTACCAACATGAAGCTTGTTGAGTCCTTCATATTCACTTGCAATGCTGAGGCTGTAGAGGTCATTTGTAACATGGTTTGTAGCTCCTGAATCAGGTTACCAGCAGGACTCTTGTGGAAAATCATTGTTGATGACACTTTTTGCATATGAGGGGGCATTTCCAACAGTGAAGTTGGCAACCCATAACTGGCATCAAAAGTGTCCTTGTTTGTGACACACCTGACACTGGAAATTTCCTCTTCCTCCTGAGGAGTTTCTACCTCCACGACCTCTGTAGCCTCCTCTGTAAGAGCCTCTTCTAGATCTTCCTTTAGAGGCTCTTCCTCTCTCAAATGTGGGATTTGAGTTCTTGGACTGATAGTCAGTTTGGGACTGAGCACTGAAGTTGGCACTTGGGGTTGATCCATCATTGTTAACCACTCCAACCTATTTTCATAATTCAAGAGAATGGAAGGAACATCTCTCATGGCAACTAGATCTATCCTTGAGGTTAAGCCGTTAAGGACACAATGACAGGATTATACTCTTGTCCTAACCTTGAAAACATATAGAGCATTTGACCTTCTTCAAAACTCCTCTCTCCAAAGGAGGCCAGGAGGATTTGTTCATTGCCAAGAACTCTCTCATGGACATAGATCCCTTCTTCAAGGCCTGCAGCTCTACTTTGTAATGCATCCTTCTTGCTTGTGATTGACTAGCAAAATTATGGGCCAGCGTTTCCCACATCTCCTTTGCATTGTTCAGACCAACCATCAAACCCAATAGGTTTTCAGAGAGATGACAAGATCCATGAGGCTAAGAGTTGAGCTTGCCTAAGCCAAGCATCATACTCCAGATTTGGAGTTTGGAGGTTGTTACTTTCACTGTCAGTGTGATTGCTGCTTCCATTAATGAATCCTTCGAGTCCATAGCCTCTGATAGATGTGAGGAGTTGTTGCCTCCAAATGAGATAGTTGGTCTCACTAAGCTTGATAGCAATGAGTTGATTTTGGGGATGGACTATTTGAAACTGAGAGCTCGAGGTTGAATCACTAAGTGTGGACATGGTGATTTAAGAGATTGCCACATAATCTGAAATAAGAAAGATGAAAGAAAAGAATAAAAGAAAATTTTCTTTTATGAGGATCAGATCAGACTCATATGGCCTGCTCTGATACCATATCAGAAAATGCAAGAAGACAATAAAAATTAATGAGGGAGACATTTTTGGATAAGAAACACTCATCAATCTTTAAGTTAATATTTCTGTGTATGTTCTTCACCAAAACGAGAGGTGAATATATACAAGGCAATGGATCTCTCTAGACCTTGTACAGGTGTCAACAATACATACAAGATGCTAAATAGGTAGTACTATACTAAGGATAAGGGCAACCAACGTCTAGTGAAGGGGCAGCTGCACAAGAGGCCAAAACTCCATTGATGAGAAATGTTGTGGGTCTGTATGAGACTGCATGGGAGTCCTTGTGTGTATGAGGTGCATGTGAGCCTGATATTTTATCAGTCTCTAGTACAAATGGCACAAATGGCAGAACAAATATTGATGCAAGAGAACTCTACAACATTTAAGTTCTATGAAAATGGATCCGAGAAGCTTTATTACCCCCACCAGTTTCCAATCATAAATTCTTGTGTCATCGTCTCAAAGTATCCACAATATAATTTCATGAATGCACAAGCACATTTTCTTCTATCTTTTTCAGACAGATCAGCATTAACAACCCACTGAGTCGAATTAAAATAGCCAGACTACCAAATAAGAGGCTAATACAAATTTAAAATAAGAAACAGAATATCAATGCAAAGGAATAGTGAAGACCAAATTAATTTCTTACAAAGACCAACTCTGTCCAATATGAAAAAATAGACTAATAAATACAAAATTAAAAATAAATCTAACCAGAATTAATTAAAGGGTAAAAAAGATTACCTGCAAATTGCTACAGTCACACTGAATGAGGTATGAGCAATCAAATTCAAATAAAAAGAGCGCCTCCAGTCAATGATTACTGAATTTTCACCAATTAAGTCATCCAACTGCTAGACATAAGTACACAAGTTAATTAAAAGTGAACAGAAAAAATGAAAAGAGAAAAGGAAAAATACAATCAGCTATCATGTAAGATCCCACATTACAAAGTGGAGTAATTAGAGATGTTAGAGGGGCTAGTCCTAAGGGTTTCTGGCCAGCCCTAGTGGGTTTTGGACTACATGGTCCAGGCTAAAGAAAGCTCTGATTTAAATAGCTAGCAATTTACGGACCTAATCCTAACCCTAGTGGGTTTTGGGCTAGACGGGCTACTAATGGCCATTTATGAAAATTTGCAGAGTTACAAACTAAAAATTTTAAATTTAAACATGCACAACATTTAATTTTAAATAATAAATATGTTCACATAAGTTTGCATCTATAAAATAATAAACTCAAAAGTTTATAAAATGAATATAGAATGTTACTCATTATATACCAAAAAAAAAAATAGTTATATTATAGGTTTTTTAAAAGAAATAGCAAAATAAAAAAAAAATGACAAAATATTTTAGAATATAATAAGTAGTTGAGTATTTATATTGAACAAAAATAAGTAAAACTATTTTTATTCCATAACAAGAAACAAAAATAGGTGCTATAATCTTATTTGTATTAATAAAAATGGTCTAGCGGGCTAACCAGTTAACTTCCAGGCTAAACGGTTAGGGGAAAAAAAAAAAAACAGAGTTAGACTGGCCAAGAAATAGGGGACCTAACCCTGTCATTTTTCGTGCTAGACAGATCGGTACTACGAGCTAATGTATAAGAGTTAAATTGAAGTATTAAACATGTATTCAACCAACACTTAGAATGAAAAATGAAGTATGGAATGAAAAATATATACAACATTGAGTATCTTTTGGCTACTACTCATTACAAGATCCATAATAGTTTTCATAGCTGTAAAGTAACACATTTCACTAGCTCCAGCGATAATGGAATTATACCAGATTACATGAAATGCAATTTGACATGAAAACGCTGAAAGATTTAGTGCAGAAGGTGGACACTCTACCATGATTGACATATTGAAAATAGTTCCCTCAAGTAACAAAAGGAAAGCAAACTTGAGTCTTCACACATAACTGAGATTGCAAGGACAAAGAGAACATTTAGCAATCACCCTATTATCTTTTACCTTAGGTGCCCACCTGCGTACAAAGTATGGAGAGTTGTCCTCCGTATCTTCACTGGGTCTCTGTGACTGCACGCTCTACACAGATAAATGTATGAAAGTCAATTGCCATCATTCATCCAAATGACAAACAGAAGACAACAATTCATTCCCAAAAGAGAATACCACTTTTCTAACAAAGAATATTAGATCATCATCCTCACGTCCCCTTGACTCCTTGCTGTTGAAAAAATACAAGTCAATGATATCACGCCAGAAGCCAGAATCCATTTCTACATCATCCAACGTTACATCCTCATCACCATCCAACACAGTTTTCCCAATCAACTTCGAGTGCTTCCTAACCATGCTCAATAACTCCTGCCTGCCAATTTTCCATTATCTTAAAATTTTGAGCAAAAACTTCGTCAACGAGTCCCACAATACTGCTTAATTCTTTTATATAACTCTAATGAACATCTCCATAAGAAAATCACATTCAATATTCGTAGAAGTTTGCAAGCAATTGATGGCCTCAACAATATGTATCATGCGTAAGGTATAAGGCCTTTACATGCATCATTGACCAAGGATATCAACTTCACAAGCAATCAGCAAACAAGTAATTAATACTTAAAACAACAACAATCAACTAACTGAATGCATCAAACAGAGCCAAAGAACTCTTGGGCACTTGGATGATTATAAGGCATCAGCATACAAACTCAGAAGCTTGTCCAAAACCTTGAGTTACGAGGTTTCTAAATCAAAATTAAACAAGAAAAAAAAAAGAACATGAAAAACTACTCGAAATGCCAAAGGGGAAAATCAAACATCGTAATAAAACTACAAAAGATCATATGAAGTGAGTGAGATTCGGTTCATAATATCAATTTCTGCCCAAGTTATTCAAAATTTCAAACCGACACACACTCTTGCTGACTCATTACTCTGTACCCTAATCGGAACAACTGAAGTCGTCTATGAATCAGAATTTTAATGTCTTACCGAGTTGGGATCTGCGATTTATCACCCATCATTGTTGAAGAAGAGAAGTTCTATCTGCTCAACGGATTAGAGTTTGATCTCTAAAACGCAGTTCGAGGAAAATGAAACCTGTTTATATATTCGAGGGAAACACCATTACGTGCGTTAGTCTCCACCCGTAATTATAAGTACTTTACCCGCGCGTCGCGCGACTTTTGATATTAAAACAAAAACATACACGATTGAATTATAATTTAAATAAATAATAAAATATCTCTAATAAACTGCATAAGTATAAAAAAAGTAAAAAAAAAATACTAATTTATTAAACGTTTTGAGATACTTTTTAAATACAACATCAGTTGTAAACGAACTAAGCTAATTAACATTATCACCAAAAAAAAAAAAATAGACTATTGGACAGTTGACATTAAAAACTACAACATACAATTGTTATGACTAATTAAAGGTTTATTCAATAGTACTTCCACATTTGACAATAATCGTAATCAACTTTTATTGATACACTACACAAACCAAAAAAAAAGGGAAACATAATCAGATTTGTCATTATTGAAATGTGTATAATTGTCATAAATTGAAAGATAAAAAGGACAATTTTAGAATAAGAAAATTGATGGTTATCGAAATCAACAATAATAAATTCTTGTTGGTAAAATAGTTATAGTAATGGTAACTAGAGATGTATCCACAAAGATTAACTAGATAAAATAATAATGCAACTATTCGTAAAAGAAATTAAATACCGTACCCCTTTTTACTAAATACCTCGCCCCAAAATGACATCTTTGCCCTTTTATTAAAAACAAAAAATTGCAGAAAAACCTTCCGCACACCCCCCTCATTCAATCAATCGGCAACATCATCCTCTCACATAAAAAATAAAAAAAAGACTTAAAAACATCCAAATATCATAGTAAATCCGAAAAAATGGCGGGACAATCCTCACGCACCGGGCAAGGAGTCTCCAATTCACAAGTAATTTTTTTTTTGTACATTTTTTACGATTTTTTAAAAATTTAAAGAAAAAAACTGTGGGCCGGCCGGCCGGCGACCGCGGCCGTCTAGGGTGTGCACGGCCGACCATCGTGGGCCGCAACTCGCTTGGTCGCGATTCACGTTCCGGCTGTGCCTTTCGCAACCGCGTAAGGCCGCTGGCCATACGTGTTTCGGCCGCTGTTGGCGGCCGGCCGTTCCAATTGCGGCCGCTAGCTGCCGTCGGCCGCCGGCCATTCCCGGCCGCCTATTTTTATTTTTTTCGCGTTTTTTTATTTAAAAAATGTTTAAATATTAAAAATATATTTGTAAATATTAATATTAAAAAATTCTAATGAATATATATATATAATTATATAGTAAATACTAATATAATTATATAGTAAAATAATTTATAATAATTATACTAGTTATTAATACAATTATTTTTATACTAATATAGTAATTAGAATTGTACTAGTAATTATACTCACTACTATATTAGTATATGTTATTATATAAAAAAATTATATTAGTAGTTAGTATAATTTCTATAAATTATAGTATAAAATATAATTAATTATAATAGGAAAAAATTATATTAGTATAAATTATTAAGTTAGTATATATTATATATTTTATAATTATTGAAAGACAATTGTAATAAATAAATCTATTAAAATAGTATATATTATTATAACTTATAATAGTAATTACTAATATATATTTTTGATATAGTAATATAATTTATAATAATTATACTAATTACTAATATAATTTATAATTATACTAATATATATTTTTTATATAGTAATATAACTTGTATAGTAATTAGTATAGTTACTAGTATAGTTGTACTAATATTTATATTATACTAACATAGTAATTAGTATAGTTACTAGTATAATTGTACTAATAATTATAGTAATTACTATACATTATATTAGTAATTAGTATAATTATTATAAATTATATTACTAGATAAACATTTATATTAGTAATTAGTATAATTATTATAAATTAATATAGTCTAAAATATAATTAAATATAATAGAAAAAAATTATATTAGTATAAATTATTGAGTTATTGGTTAGAATGGATTATCTTAAAAAATAAAATTTATTGATATTATGCTAAAAGTTATAATTGATTATCTTGTAAAATTATTAACATACATCGTAATATATTGCAGGCGCCGGTCGAAGATTTTGGAGGTGACGGTCTTGATTACCGACCTTGTTTCACAACAACTGACCTATTTGATAGTTGTGAAAAAGCTATTGAATGGGCAAAAGATATTGCAATCATATAGGGTTTCCAATTGGTCATCTCGAGACACGAAAAAGAAGGAAAACATAGGTTGTTGAGGTGTCATCGACGGGAACGTTACAGAAGTCTTGTAGGAAAGTTAGTTAATGCTGTTATGAGAAGTTCGAAAACTAAAGCGACCAACTGCCTATTTCAGATAAGAGTCAAATTTGAAGAACAATCCAAAAAATGGCATATCCGGATTCCTTTTGATGATGAGAAGGGAAAGCATAATCATGCGTTGGCTGTGAATCCCGAGGGTCATCGACAGATGAGCGGCCTTAGCGATCCATCCAAAAAGATTGTCCGTGATATGACTGCTGCTCAGGCAAAACCGGCAGCAATTTTGGCTGTGATTCAAGAGCAAAACCCTGTAGACAACGCTACTTGTCGACAAGTGTTGTTGTAGCAAATTATATTTTTACCGAGTACGGGATGACTCCCGACCTCGGGTCGATCTCTCGAGGAAGGCGGTTCGGAATTTAGCTTTGGTGTCGATTACACACGAAAAGAAAGTAAATCCTAAACACTCTAATCAGATAGCAGATTGGGTGAATTATTAACTAAGAAATAAAATAAAACAATCATCTACCTAAAAATATAAACGGAACAAAGATGAAGAAGCTAGGGAGTCGGGGATAATTAATTCAGGTTCTAGCAAAGCTGGGCAGTCAATTGTTCGGTTCGAGATTGACACTCTCGCTTAAACATCTAGCGGTTCGCTCCCAATAACTTTTCGTAACAAGGGATTGAACATAGACGAACAAGCTCGAGCATACAACACAGGCCAATTATCCCAATCCCAATAACTTTTCGTAACAAGGGACGGGTCATCGACAAGCACGTATTTCAATCTCAACCCATAGATTATTCAGCTACGAAATCATCTATCTCATGCGAGCCTAGGTCTACGACTTCTCCCCTTTCGGTTCTAAAAGTCGCTAATTCAATTAGAAGGTGTTTAATCGACTAATCATATGGAATCAACAAATCCTAACTCGACATATCAATATTCAATCGTTACCAATTGCAAGATCGAAGTGTCACCCTTCGATTATATCAAACTATCAAGCACAAATTCATCAATTCCTAATCAATTCAACTCACATAAGCATGA